GCATGATGCAGGAGTGTACAAACTTGATTGTGAATGTTGTCTCTCCTACATAGGACAAACTAAAAGATCAATAAAAACCCGCGTTAAAGAACATATAGCTAATGTGAAGAATCGACGCTCCGGGAAGTCTGCAGTCTGTGAACACGTACAGGATCGCCCCCGTCACTACATCAGATTTGATAGACCGCAAATCCTCGCTAAAGAACACCGATTCCTTCCCAGGATGATTTGCGAGGCTATTGAAATCAAAAAACATCCTAATTTCAATAGAGAAGATGGCTGGGTGCTACCATCTGCTTGGGATCCTATAATAAATAAAATTAAATCTCAACCCAGGCATACAACTGCACGACTTCAAGATACCATAAGTTCATACTGTATAGATCGGAACAAAAGTTAAATTTTAATCTATGGTAACCGCGGTTAACTATGACATATGGACGTTGAACATCTCAGTCCCGCCCGTGACCATGAGTGCTGTAAAGCGTTCGAAACGTCGGGTATTTAAAAAGTTAAATATACGCGATAAATTCCGTAAAAACTAGTATTATTTCAATGTGTAGTGTTCGCGTAAATTTAAGAAATCATCATTATAATAATTTCATTAATAATATCTTTGTTAAAAGTACAAATAATAATAATAATAAAATAATAAAAACTTTATTCTCAGAAAAACATGTAACAAAATTTTCCATATTAAGTACGATTACAGGCATCAATATACTAGTAACATACTAGTAGGATATGGTTGATCGTTAGCGGCTGTACTAGTTTTATATTGAAAACTGTATTACAGACGCTATCGCCTTCCACCGGACATTATAGCAAACAATTAGAGCAATGCCCTGTTTAGTACTACATAATATTGAATCCGCTACGTATGGAGACAATACTTAAGAACAAGTATAAAAGAGTATAAAGGTACAAAAGAGAGGGATGGAATTGCGAGTGTACACGTAAAAGTTTGTAAATGTGTGTGTGTGTGTGTGTGTGTGTGTGTGTGTGTGTGTGTGTGTGTGTGTGTGTGTGTGTGTGTGTGTGTGTGTGTTTGTGTGAATTGTGTGATGAATCTTACGACTTTATCAAGAGATGTGGTTTAGTTAGCTCTATAGGGGATCGCGAAAGCACCTCTGTATCCTCGTATGAAAGTCTCTGCAGCCACTGCTTCAGTTCATATTTACACTTTCTTGCAGTAGTTTTATGGATATTTAGTTCTTTATTAATCCTATTGTAAACATGACTACTTCGGACGTAGTATTGTCTACGAGCTAAAGCGGTTCTGTGGGGGAGGTGTTCACACACCCGGTATTCCAGTCTTCGACTTATTTTTTATGCACGATGCTCCAGTGTGAGCGAGTGATGTCTACGAAGTACCATTTGAAGTATGTAGAGTTGCCTGGCTGTGAGCACCTCACAGTCTATATAGTTGGGTAGTAGGATAACGGTAATGATTTTTAGTCATAACCTTTAACACAGCTCTCTGTGCACGCTCCAATTTTAGAAAATGAGTGGGGCACGCCTCATCCCAGGAAGGGATGCAATAAGTCAGAATATACTGGGCCAGCGCAAAATAAACCAGTTTCAAGGTTTGTGAGTCCGCCGCATTCCTCAATTTTTTAAAAACTGGAATAATTTTTTGAACCCGGGATGCTATGTTATCTATTTGAGGTGTCCAGGTAAGGGTACTGTCGAGTATCATTCCCAGATATTTTATGTTATCCGTCTGTTCTATTGCCATGCATCCACAGTTTGCATTTGTCGAGTCACAGTGGTGAATTTTGATGTAGGAGGGATCAGGTTTAGGTTGTGTTGACTTTGATGCAGAAAAGGTAATATACTTGGTCTTGTCAATATTTAAGGTCAGCAGATTGTCACAGAGCCAGTTTGATACAACACGCAGGGCCTCTTCCATTCTGCATCGAGCACTCTCCCAGGTTTTGTCGTGTGCCAAGAGAACAGTGTCATCTGCGTACGTGATGATGCGGCAATTCGGAATAGTCAAGCGACAGAGACTGTTTATGTAAACCAGAAACAGTGTCGGTCCTAGCACACTGCCTTGAGGGACTCCATAGGAAAGATATTTATCATCACTAAGAAAATAATCTATTTTGACACATTTTCTGCGTTCTGAGAGATAGTCTCGAAAGATGTCCAAAGCCAAACCTCTTATGCCAATTTGATTCAGTTTTTGAAGTAGGATAGGCATAGAAACAGTGTCAAAGGCCTGACAGGTCAATGAAGGTTCCTATTATTTTGAATTTATTATCTATGTTTTAGCTACTAAGTTGACTAGATCCATAACAGCGTCTTCTGTGGATAAGCCACTTTTAAAGCCGTATTGATTTTCTGATATGATTTTGTATTTTTTCAAGTAATTAATAAGCCTTGTGTTAAGAATTTTTTCCATTATTTTCGAGAGGGAAGTGAATACTGATATAGGCCTATAATTATTGATACTGCTTCTGTCCACACTCTTAAAGATTGGATGTACCAAAGCTTTCTTAAAGGCTTTTGGAAAGACACCTGACTCAAGAGAACGTAGACGTATGTTATAGGAGGCATAAGAGTATTTCGGGCAGCCTTAATAACTGCAGAAAAGAGATTCCATCATAGCCAGTAGCACTATTTGTTTTATGATTTATAATTATATTCTCAACTTCTGATTCGTCTGTCTCTCATAAAATCATGGAGTTGCCAAGAGGATTATAAGATGATTTTTAGAGGTCATAGGTGAAGCTGATGGGTGTTTACATTTAAGGATTTTGGAGGCTAGATTTGGTCCAATATTTACAAAAAAGTCATTAACCTGATTTATTGAGACATTAGGATCATTTGTTAGATCTAGAAGGTCTGTAGAAGGTGATGATGAGGAGGTGAGATGAGTTATGCCCTTTATGACATTCCAAGTCACTTTGGGGTTATTTTTAGCTTTTTGAAATTCGTTGCGTTCGTGGAGACATTTTAATTTTTTTAATAATATATTGCAATAGTTCCGATAACATAGATATATGACTTTAGCTTCTTCATTGTTTGGGCCCTTTTCATTTTTTTATGCAAGCTGTCACGGTTTTGTATGCACCTTAGAAGTCCGGGAGTAATCCAGGGCTTTAATACGTTTTCTGCATGAGACTTTGACAGAATTGGTGTTTTGCTTGATGCATGCATTAATCTTGTAGATTAATAGATCAGCAGCAAGATTAGCATCTTTAGTATCAAAGATGGTTGAAAAATCCGTATTAGCCAATTCTTTTGTAACATTTTGTGTATTAACATATACCCGAGTTTTTTGGTATAGTGTTTGTAGACGTTGTCCTATAAATGCAAAGATGGGATTATGATTTATTGACACGATGTTGGTTATCTTAAGGTTGGTTTTCATCATAACGTGATCAAGGCAAGCATCTTCATGGGTGATGAACGAATGTGCGGGTTATAGCCCGTGTGATGCCAGAAGATTCAAGTAAGACTCGGGTTTGGGCTCACGTTTATTAGAGAGAATATTGATGTTAATATCTCCAATGATAGTTATAGTTTTATATGTCGCTAATGATACTATCAAATTATTTAGTGAGTTCAGAAAATTATCAATAATTTTAATACAAGGAGATCTATAGATAACTAAGATAACTAAACCATTTTCAAAACAGAATTTCAGGCAGCTAGCGTCTATTAGATTTACGACGGATACTTTGCATTTCATTTCTTCTTTAATAAACGTAATGACGCCATCGTTCTGATTGTGCCAATTGGAACAGTGAGAATTAAAGCCTTGTAGTACAGGGACATTAACAACTTTACTAAGCCAGCATTCTGTTAATATTATAATATCCACTTTTATATTTATCATGTTTAGGAAGATACAAAGTTCATCAAAATTCTGGTTAACGCTCCTGATGTTAACGTGAAGGATTTTTATTTGAATCACATTACAGTCTATAGTACAATACTTTTTTTATAGAGATAAGAAGTCTTCCTCATTATTATAATTTTGAATGTTATTGTATTTTATACGTATCTATTTAATAGAGTATATACTGTGTTCGATCACCATGATTTTATACATGATAGAGCCACGCTGCTGCTATATTATGGTTGTAGGATGAATGGGTTGGCTCGACCGGGAAGGACCCCGCTCTCACAGAATATCAGCGTGAAATAGCAGCTTAATGCTGCTGTATTTCGCATGGTCAATGTAGAGAACTGGCGACTCGTTTTTTTGAAATGGTAGCATCCTATCTTAGTCCTCAGAGGTAACAACGGATCTGCATTTTAATTCTTAATCGAATTTAAATGTAGATGTCTATGGGCCATAGAATTCACTTAGCATCAAGTGGACTGTGTGCTCATTTGTTACCCTTATACTATTTAAAAAAATCCACCGAATCCGTCTTGCATTATCGCGTGCTCGATGCCTGAAAAATTAAATATTTCAGGGACGTGCGTAATCTTCCCAGCTTTTTAACTTACTACAACTTCAAGAATTCAAGATATTATAAGCTCATTCTATGTAGAACGGAGCAAACATTAAAAATTATAAATTTGTAGGTAGCAGTGGTTAATTATGAAATCGGAACGTCGACACTTCAGACATCCGTGACCATGGGTGCTGTAGTCGTCGTGAATTTAGTAATATACGCAATAAAATACATAAAAAATAGTTTCATTTAAATGTTTAGTGTTCCCGTTAACATAAGAAATCGTTATTTAATTTACATTTCTTATTTAATAACTGATTGGACAAAGTTACATAATATTTATTTTGATTTATATTATTGATGAGATTTCGTCTTTCCGCTTGTTGTATGCATGTAATTTCTAATCTTATTAATAATACTCAATAAAATTTTATGATTTTAAAGTAGGTAAAGAAAACCAGGTGTACTTATATAGTGTTTTAACTGAGAGTAGGGAGCTACTCATATATATATTCGTCGTCGGTAGATACTGGTATAATACGGGCAGTTCGCTCTTTGGTTATATTCAAATAAATAGTTATTAAAATGAGTACCAGTAAAAAAGTAATTCTTGTGACAGGTGCTAGCTCTGGAATAGGCGCTGCAATTGCCATAAAATTTAGTGAAGAAGGTGACAAAGTTGTGTTAGTAGGTAGAAATGAAAGAAAACTGCACAATGTTTCTCAACTGTGTAAAGAAGCTGGGGGCAACACCCTAATTATAATTGCCGATCTCACTATCGATGCAGATATTAAAAGGGTAATAAATACGTCAATTGAACATTTCGGAAGATTGGATGTACTAATAAACAATGCTGGCGTACCCGGTTCAGAGAGTATCCTTTCTGACAATGCTATGAGAGTATTTGATGAAATTATATCAATTAATCTTCGCGCAGCTGTGTATGTCACACACCTCGCTGCACCATATTTGATTAAAACAAAGGGTAATGTTATTAACATATCAAGCATAGGATCTACGGCGATCTGTTTTCGAATTAACTCTCAATACGGTGCATCTAAAGCCGCTATAGACCAATTTACGAAGTGTGTTGCTCTTGAGTTAGCTACGTATGGAGTAAGAGTTAATTCAGTGAATCCTGGACCGACAAAAACAGATTTCATGAAGCGGTTTGGATATGATGAAGAGAAACAACAACAAGTTTGGAACACATTACTGAAAGCAACATTGTTGAATAAGATAATAGAACCTAGTGAGGTAGCTGATTTAGTTTTGTTTTTAGCAAGTGATAAAGCAAACAGTATTACGGGTTCGTCGTTTGTAATTGATAGTGGATTTTCATTAAAAGGTCTTATAGAAGAGTAATAATGACTTCTCATAAATAGATGTGGCAAATTCAAAACGGAATTAAATTTTATTTTTAGCTTAAATTTTTTAAATAAAATGAAACAATTAATAATACTACTTAAATATATAATAATATTAATTGAAAACTTGCCTTTCAATTATAGTTTTAGTATTACTCGATTAACCATTCTTTTTAAATAGTTACTAGCTTGCCAGGCAGACGTTGTTCTGCTCGTTTCTACGACCATTTGTCATGTCCTATTAAAAATACTTAAATTCGCAAAAAAAATGTGGGTCACTCATGTGCAAAAAAAGTATCCTATCTCTCAAGTTGGACCAAACTGCACACGGTGTGCAAATTTGATTAAAATCGGTTGAGTAGTTTAAGAGTCCATCGCGGACAAACAACGTGCCACGTAATTTATATATATTAAGATAGTAAGTATTGACGGAGAATTTGATATTGTTAAAAAGATAATACAACACATACAACATTTGTTATTATGTTTCCATTTTTTTGTAGAACAGGGGGTAAACGAGCATGTGACTTACCTGATGGTGAATGTCGACCGCCGCCAATAAACTACTGCAACACTTGGAATATTGCGGGTGCGTTGCCGGCCTTTTAAAAAGGACTAAGCTCGTTTCTTGAAGGTGCCTAATTCGTATCTATCCGCAGAAATCAGCAGTGGTAAACAATTCCACATAGAAGTCGTGCGAGGAAGAAAACTTAGGAAATCGCACAGTTGTGGATAGCAAAGATCAGTTGATGTGGATCTAGTGTATTATCGCGATATGTTGATGAAATATGGCGGCTGAAATTGGTCCGAACAGTTTCTCAGAGCAACATTCGAGGTAAATGATATAGAAAATGAAAAGGGATGCAACATCTCTTCGCAGCGCCAGTGAATCGAGCCGATCAGAGTCTAGTAGAGTACCGAAAACTATCCCACCTCAATTTTTAATGCGATTTTCTTCAAATTATCCCACTACTGACAAAAATGTATAATGCAATGGGGCAACTCAGTGCCATATTGTTTAAATCGTTTATTTTTAATTGCAAGGATTTGTTATTTTCAAACAGGACATTTTTTATATTTTTTGATGAAATACGTATTAAAAAGTTTATATGATTTTATATGATAAAGTTAGTATTTTCGGAGTTATGAATTTTTAAATGTTTGAAAAATCCCAAATTTGGATAATTTTGACCCATTAAAAACACATAAAGAAAAATAATAAAATACACACAGGCATTGCATTGAGAATTGTCATTTGTGCCATTTATGAAATATACATGATATACATTTATTTAAATATTTTAATACTACCTAAGTATTTTCGAACCAATTATCTAATATTGATTAAAACTATTTTTACGGATTTTATCGCGTTTATTTTACTATTATTTTTAATTACCGACGTTTCGGGCGCTTTTCAGCACCCGATGCATTGTTAAACCCGGAGTACCTTCAGCTCCAGTTTAACAATGACATCGGGACGTCATTCATCTCAGTCCCCCGTGACTATGGGTGCTGGAAAGTGCCCGAAACGTCCGTTTTTAACTCTCGCGTGCCCAGCATTTATGAACGACTCTTATTCTAATTTAAATAAATATGTTTGTAATTTAAGTGTTATGTTAATAAGTTTTGTTAAACATAAATTCAGTATGTTTTTTATATTTGACCTAGATACCTACCTTTTAAAATATTGAGATAAAAATATCGTTAAAATGTAATTGTGATATGATGTAATATTATATTTGCTTATTTAAATGTCAAAATTTAAATATTGTTCTCGATATAATTTACCTAATTAACAATACAATCTACGGGTAATTACCTACGGGTCATTCTACCTATGTTTAATCTATGATTAAAAAAACCAACAGCGAACATTTTTTGTTTGAGATAGCTGTTCTAGTACGTAAGTACATATTATTTCAATGATAAAAGTTAATTTTGAGTTGAATAAGGAATATTACAAATGTCAATATCGTCTAAATTATTGTATTAAAAATTTCATCCACAGGAGTTTATTAATTTTGAAATATCAATTCTGTGATTAGAGTCAGTTTGAATTCCCTAAAGAAAATACTGCGAGGAGGAAAAGTTGTTTAATTTCAGTTGTGAGCGCTCTTTTAATTTAACTTGGTTCTTCCGTTACAAAATTAACTGTGCGAAACTACGGAAGGTTAATTTTCGACTTGTGATACTTTAATATTTGTTTTGGTTTCTAAAGTAAAGTATTCATAATATGTGATGATCATTATCAGATTTTTGTTTTAAATTTAACGGTGATTGGATGTTTTGTTTAAATGGATCCTACAGAATTTAAAATAAAAAACAAAAACCCCTTACCTCCAAATTTTATAAATTTTTCGTTTCTTTTTTAAATATAATATTTTAGTGTTTCAAATAATATATAGTCTAGATCCGTACTGTGGGTGTAACACTAGTTCTGTGTGGAATTCGAAACAGCGATTAAAAGAATAGTTTATTTTAATACTACTAGACTATATTCATATCTAAAAAAATACTGGTCAAAATGTATGTATGTGTAACACTCTTTCTGTGTGGGATTCGAACCAGCGATTATTAAATTAATGTAATTATAACACGGTCAGAAGAACGTCATTGCTCTCTAAACCATTCCGAAGTATCCTGGACAGACAGGCAGATAGATTTGTTTTGAATGATTATTCATGTCATAATATTGTTGCGCGAATAAGTCGACATCATGTATCCGGCATTAGCGCCCTCTAGTCTCGGAACGAAGAACTAAGCTTCTAGAAGCTGACGCTCGAACTCTCGGCCCCTTGCGCGTGTTTACTTAAATATTCTGGATGTTTCGGTGCTAATTTGTATTTATAGGCACTGCAAGATACGATCGGGGAAGTATTGAATTTGGCGAGACAAGCGAAGCTTCGGAGCGAAATAAAGTGAATCAGTGTGATTAATTTTTAGTGTTTTAAGTTTTTGTAATATGGTGACACGAGAGAGAAATGGTGTAAAGAAAATTAAAGTGTTAATTTAGGTAATTCTATCGGCAATTTTTATTGTCACGAACCTCAAGCTCGTAACAATATCATGCACATAACCCCTGAGCTTAAAAGAAACCAATTATTACAATATTACGGAGCCGCTTTAATTATATATATATAGTACCTGGTTGACCGAGCTTAGCTCGGTATTTTTCGCTCGGGTTTTTTTTTTAATTCGTGTGTTTTTGGAAATTATATTTAGATACAAATTACATACACATACATACTGATGAAATACAAATAATATTTTTTGATCTTAGCGACAAAATAAAAAAAACTGAACTGGTTATTTGAATAAAAACTCATGAGTGCAATTAGTTAAATTTAAATTTTTATGTTTTTAAAAAATACTAAAAAAAGGGCTCGAAAAAATAGATTTTCTCAAAAAAAGAAAGGAACTTGAAAAAAATTAAAAACAGTCGATCGGCCGGTCAGGGCTCGAACCATGGTTTTACGAATCTGTGACCGCCCAATATACCAATTAAGCTATTTATAATCATTAATGAGCTGTCAAAATTTACCTTCTTGTTCTAATATATTACGATGATAATATATTACGAATATCTACGATATTGTAGGAGTTTTTCATTGCCTTAAAACACGGACAAAAAGACATTTTCTAAAAATAAATCCTAGCTAGATCGATTTATTGCCCCCGAAACTCCCTGGACACTAAATTTTATGAAAATCGTTGGAGCCGTTTCCGAGATCCCGTTTATATATATACAAGAATTGCTCGTTTAAAGGTATAGGATATATTATACGTGTATGCTCGGGGTTTCTCTGCGTGACAAACTCAGAAATGAGGGTACCCGCAGTCGATACCAGAGTAACCGACATAGCCTAACGGAGTAGTAAGCTTAAGTGGCAATTGGCCGGCCATATAGCTCCAAGAACCGATAACTGATGGGAAAAAAGGTTCTCGAGTGGCAGCCTCTTAACGGTAGGTGTAGTGCTATTGTAGGGCGACCCTCCACTAGATGGAGTGACGGCCTGGTGAGACATGCAGGAAGTCAATGGGTGCAGGTGGCTCAGGACCGTCCTTTGTGGCATTACTTAGGGCGGCCTATGTTCAGCATTGGACTTGTGAAAGGCTGTAATGATGATGATCATGATGAGATGAAGAAAGTAGAAGCTACTATTGCCAGTTATATTAATAAGATAGGCATGCATTGGGATAATACGGAAGAAATAACAATATCACATATAATTAATTATCTTTGATAGGTTGCAAATTTTCAAAAATTTAAAAATTACATTATGCGTATACATTCTAAAATCTAAGGTGACATAAGATAGGTCATCACCTAACAAATAATACAATTCCGTTGGTGTCGTAAGAAGCGATTTAGAGCATTGACTTGAATATTTTGTGGAAGATCTCGTATTTATTCCAAATATAAAATATGAATCCCAACAGTAGACTATTAAGAGGTTATGGGTATGAGGATATGTGTAAGTATAACAAAATACTAATATGTGAGTTGATTGAGATTTCATAGGAAATATTGGCAGCGATTAAATTACATTACGCGGCCTTCAACAAGGTCACTGAAATACGATATAAGAAGTAATGTGGATCATGCCATGACATTGTTTTACGTAGCGCGTTATATCCATATACCCTTGGCTCTATGTATTTTATGAGAAGGAGTAGGAACATTTATATGATTGTATCTTTTTATACCGGTTCTCATAACCATTTACTATATTTACACGAGTACTACATATTGAATGAAATCACCTTCACGGATTTTATCACGTTTAATTTGTATTATTTTAAATTATTGAGGTTAACGGAGGTCCGACAGACCCTCCGTGTTTGACGTACTGATGTTGTAGCTAACCCCGGGCTACTTCTGAACTCTGACTCAACTTCTGAATATTATTAGTTTTAGGTCTGACCTTTGCAGAATGAGCTTACTGTATCTTGAAGTCCTAGAGTAGTATGCTTGGGTTTGTATTTACATAACAT